CTTTTCTTCCATAGTATTTATAATTTTCCCTGGAGTATCAGTATATATCTGGGTGCTATCTTGAGCATTTTCATATACGTTGGAAAATTACGCAACACTTGTGCAGCATCTATACAGGGAGAATTTCATTGTTACTTCATTGCTGGTTTCATTGAGTCTTTTGTTTGCCTGGTGTTTTCACTTTGCAGCAAAGATAAATACTTTTTAGGGGGGGGATTTGTTTTCTGAAATTGAAGTAGTTTCAGGTTCATACTTCCTTGACCGTACCAAATTAACTGTAGCTTCAGTTCAGTAGTGCTCTTTTAAAACACTCTGCAATTTCGGTTAGCAAGCCCTGAAAAAACTTCAAATGTTACTTGAATTACAACCTCTTTTCTTTTGCTTATAAGCCATAAGGATGAGTTTACTATTATTCCTGTGTTGGTCGGAGCACTGAGTGAGTCAAAAGAGCAGGAATTTGGAAAACTCTTCAGTAAATACCTAGCTGATCCTAGTAACCTCTTTGTGGTTTCTTCTGACTTTTGCCATTGGGGTAAGTTTCACATCTCTTCATTATAACAGTATGATGAATATTTTGTAGTGATTTTCAAATAATGCATTTTATGAAACATAGAACATTTTTAACTTCTGGTAAATGTATCACTGAAACTTAAATGCCTTTGTAAAGCTAAAAAAGGATTTTTCTTTTTTTAATCTGGAACAATAGATGAAAAATATTAATGTGGTAATGTGTTTTCAGTGTAGTGGAGGAAATAAATGATGAAGGTGTATGGGTTTATATGCATCTCTCTGCTGTTGCAATGAAATAAGTGGCTGAAGTTTCTTGCTCTTTTTACTCTTCTTTTAAGCACCTCAAAGCAACTTGCAAAACTAATTAATTAGCTAAAAATTCACTGGACATGGCAACATCCCTCTGACAGAAATAAGTTTTGTACATTTTACTGCTGGGTAAGATAGCAGATGGAGTATTTATGCCAATTCACCAGAGCTATCCCAGTTCATCTTGGTGGCAGAGCTATAAAGACTCCAGAAGCCTTGACTTCTGTCCTGCTTTAACACTTTATTTTTCTTTTAAGTGTGATAATAGCTGGAAAAGGGACTGCTTCAGACAGATATGTTTTATGTTACACAACAGACCTTCTTCCCTTTTTCCATTGTCATCTTTGGTCAACTTTACATAATTAAGTGCATATTTTACTCATCTTTGAATTGTGGAATAGGTGGAGGTATATAAGAATGACCTGGGTTCTGTTGTGGCTAATGAACCATCTAGAACTGTTCATTGAATGATCATGAACTTTTTCTTTTAACCTTCATTTACTGTGGGTATTGTTGTGCAAGCAGAAGTAGCCTGACTCCAGGGTTGCCTTTGTCAAGAGGGATAGTGAAATGAAATGTTGCTTTACTTTTTGATCTATAGAATTGGATTCCAAGGCAATAACAGGCAATTAATAAGTGATACTGCAGTGTCAGTTCTACGTAGCAGGTTTTTCTTTAGGAATATAGCTGCCCATCGTGTATTTTTTACTTTACTTCTGGGGTGCTACTTTGATGATTGCCCTAGAATTTCCTCAGTGGAGTTAAAAAGTATTTAAAAAAAAAAAAGATTACTACTTTACAAATACTATAATTTCAATTATTTAGTAAGTACTAGGGAGTGTTTTAGCTACGATTTTTCCCTTTTTTATTTTATACATGATTTTTGTTTCAAGGTCAGAGGTTCCGTTACAGTTACTATGATGAATCCCAAGGAGAAATTTATAGATCCATTGAGCACCTAGATAAAATGGTAAGTTTTCAGATTTGGTGGAACTAACTAACAAATTTCTCCTGTACATTACATTTCTTTGAACACTTTAGGAATTTCTCTAACAAAATATTATAGATTAGCTATTTTATTGAATGTATACTTTTCCTTTGTTTACAACAATAAAACTTAGCTGTTATTTTTAGTTAGTATCCTCCATTTTACTGACTGCACACATTATATTGTGGGTATAATCTAGCAAGCATAATTTATGAGAATAAATGCATGTTCACCTACCTAAAATGCCCTAGTGTAATGTAATTCCTGTCCACATACCCTCTTACATTTTGGAGAAGCAATAAGAATTATGAATCGAGTATTGTGGTAATTCAGGCTTGATAGCTATGATACCTGCGTATCAAAACATCATTGTGATTATGCTAATGGTTTCAGCCACATCCATTTTGAGGAGGAAAGGCTGTAGGGGATTGTGCTGCTCAGGAAAACGAAAGTCACCGTTTCCTTGGGAGTAGTCTTCCCCCTGCCCCTTACTCTGTAGTAGGTGGTGGGGAGAAGCGGTAGACCATACTTCATTCTGGGTTTGGCAAACGGCTGAAAGGAATGCTAAACACATGAAGATCATGATGCCAATTATGTTGCGGTTTTTTTGCAGACACAGGAGCCAAGGATTTCTTTTTAAATGAAAAAATTGTGTTAACATTCAAGACTATACTTAAGGCACAGAATAGAAGTATTTCTTCTGGAAATACATAACTTTAAATTTAGTTTTAAAGCTGTTTGGGTCATTTATATAACTTCTGTAAAATCTGTTAGAAGAGAGAACTGTTGATACTTAGGGCATGTTAATTTTTTTCCTTGTCTTGAAGGAATAAATCCTATCTGCTGGAGACATCTCTGGAGTTTTTTTGCTTTATGTATCCATATTAACCTCTTTGTTTTTCCACTATTCATTGCTGGAATGGAAACAGTAAATAATTTGCCTTCATTCTATTTATCCCATTTTCAATAATTCTTGTTGTCAGTTGCGAGGTTTCTCTATAAAGACAAGTGTTTTTCTACAGAGTCGCAGAATTTGCAGCTCTGAGTGTTTTTGCAGGAGCACAGATTAAGGTGCATTAGCAAACATTAGTTTCCCCTTGTTAATTTCTGCGGTGAAAGCCTGTAGAAAGGCTGGACTTTGGCATTTAATTACGTTTAGTGAATACATTGCTGCACCAGCTCTTTCTTTTGGTAGTTATTCAGCCAAAAGGAAATGACCTTTTTTTGGAACATTGACAGTGATGTCTACTGTGTAATAACTATGAAAATACTTTTTCAATCTTCAGTTTAACTGGAAAGCTAAACATGCTGCATAGCAGTATATTGTGGTTATTTTTTGTCTGTTTGTATCATGCCATATGTGAACACTTGACTCTGTATTCAAACTCTGTACAGAGTAGGTTTTGCTTTCAGTGAATTTCAGAAATTTCTTTTTAGCGGTATTGTGGGTACACTTGGGACGGTATCCACAATGCCACAAAGATCTCCCTGTTATGCTTCTCCAGCTTTTGGAAGGAGCTTATTCAATTTTATATGCCCCACTCAGCTACTTGTTTCCTTAGATAAGTATTGAATTTTTTAATGTCATTTGGCATGCTAAAGAAACTTGTATTGTTGTAACCACTAGGCCTCTCCACAGAGAAAATAGCATTAAGATAGAGACAAAACTGTACTAAAACCATCAGAGGTTTTAACCTCTGCTATTACTGGCCCAATAATTTTATTGGACCTAACTAGCAAAGCAGTTGGCCGAGCACTTTGTAAGCAGGAAGATATGCTGGGTTAAGATGAAATTACTTTTCCTTAGAAATGCCCTTGTTGGAGGACAATGGTCTCTTCCTTATTTAGGCTGGACCTTAAGTACAGATGCATGATGCTTTTCCTGGCTAGTGCATAAACTGTGCTAAACACTTTGGGCATTGAAGATTTACTAACCTGGTAACCACTGTGAAAATTTTATTTGCTATGATTTTAAGGTAGAGCCCTTAGACTCCAGCATAAAAAAAAATACAGAGTAGTAAATACTGCTGGGCAGGCATCGGTTTCTCCTTGGTAGCTCTTGATGTGACCGCTCTCTTACCCTGGGGGTACCATGGTGCACCTTGTGAAGTGATGGTGAAAGGAGTAAACAGCTCCATGGTTAATAGGGGCACCGTAAGGAAAAATCCTCAAATAAAGAGTTATAATTGAGCAGCTGATGTGCAATAATTTGTTTGTACATCATAACCTGATACCTACCATCTTTTTAAATAAAAGTGAGGGAGTATTCTGTAAGAAGTCATTGAAGAGTAATTATTTTTTGATTATGGCTAGCCGGCAAATGCAGACTGCTCGCTTCAATCTTCCCTGCCAGATTGCTCATTTTATATCTATTTGTGAAACCTTATGCCTCGCTTGAGTCAACAGGAGGATTCTGTTACCCTGAGTGCTGAAAGGGAGGCTAATGCAGGCACAGAGGAGAGCTGTGCAGGAACAGCCAGCGGTTGTTGTGGAGGAGCCGTGCACAGCATGGGTGCCTTCTCAGGTGGCTCTAATGAACTGTTGAAGTCTGGTGGCTTCTGCGGTGCCACTGTGGCGTGCCAGCACCTTCCACAGGGCTCCAGCCTGGGAAGACTTCTTAGCTTGGGTGTAATGCAAGACTGTGACTCTCTGCCTGGGTGCCCGGCTCCCCGCTCTCTGCTGTGCCCAGCCAGTAGTTTTCCTGTTGCTTGTTTATCTTCTAGTCGGAGTGGCTCTCACATGCAAAGATAGTTGGGCTGGCTAGTGCTAAGACCAAGTTTGTTTCTACTTCCATAAGTGTGCTACTAATTTATATTTTTTTAAGTGTGAAGAAGCAGCTGAAGTAACTGATTGCAAACTTAAACTTGACCAGCCAAAGGATTATTGGAGTATAGTATAAAATAAGCCTGTGAGTTGTGGGGGTTTTGTTGTTGTTTTGTTGGTGGTTTTTTTTTTTTTTTTTTTGGTGGGTTTTTGGATACGTGATCCTTTGGGGGGTGTTTTTTTGATAGTTGGGCTGGCTAGTGCTAAGACCAAGTTTGTTTCTACTTCCATAAGTGTGCTACTAATTTATATTTTTTTAAGTGTGAAGAAGCAGCTGAAGTAACTGATTGCAAACTTAAACTTGACCAGCCAAAGGATTATTGGAGTATAGTATAAAATAAGCCTGTGAGTTGTGGGGGTTTTGTTGTTTTTTTTTTGGGGGTTTTTTTTTTTTTTTTTTTGGTAGGCTTGTAGATACGTGATCCTGTAGGGGATGATATTTAAGAATGTAACTGCTTGTAGTCATATTAAGTGCACTGTGCTAGGATATTGTAGATGCCATTTACAGTGTCTGGTTAACTGGGATATGCAATTTCAATGTGATGCCATGATAACCACTTGATAAACTGCAGAACTGTGTGATGGTTTGCATTTTTATCATGTGGGTTTTGTTCTGTATTTTAACTCTGTTCTAAACCATGCCTGGCCGAGTTATTTTGAATACGGAAAATGGTTACCTTCATACTTCTGCTTTTTAGAAAAATAAAACACAGCCTGACAAAAATGTTTCCTTCGTTCCTCAACACCATTTTAGACTGAGAAACAAGCTTGGTAGTCTTTGCTCCTCTGCCACAACGATTTTTAAATCCAAAAGACTGAAAAGTTCAGGACAGCTGAATACTTATAGGATATGTGTTAATACTAGTTTCCTATGGGTTTTCTCCAGTCTGTGATGTATGGAGCTCTGTTAGCATTTGCTAGGATGAACTGCATAGCTCTAAATGTTTTGCAGTGCTGAACTGTGCATTGAAATAAGCTTACTAGGCATTGTGAGAAATCCACGTCCGTTCATTTGGGACAAATGCTCAGATGCCTCTGCCCAGCATGTTCCAGTGACTTACAGCTGTAAAACGAGTCTCTCAATTGAGCAGCCATTTTCATTTTTTAAAAAGTCGTGAAAGGGTTTGCAAATGGATAAAATACATTCTTATGAGCTGTTTAGAATCTGAATAAGTGCCTTATGCATGTTTAGTTTCACTTGAGTATATAGTTGTTTGGTTCTGCTTTCTTTAGCTTTGTATTGACACGTACAATTTACAAGTAAATGGGTGATTCTTAAACTGCAGAAATGCAATGATATCTGTGTAATCACTGCTAGTTAGAGAATAGCTACCTTTATTTTTTTGGCACTCATTTAGGTTCTGTAGATCTGGAGTGAGTAACAGCTGTAATTACCAGCCAGGGGTCCAAACACCCTCTCCATGACCCTGGAAGAACTGAGCTCTTGTCAGCGTAGTTTGGTTTTATTTTTCCGTGAAATTTATCTCATTATGAATTTATCTTATGTCTGTTTTTAATTAAAAGTACACAAAGGTGGTGGTTATGGTTGCCGTTTTCTAATCTTCCCTGACTGTCTTGGGATCTCCGGCTCCTCCATTGTAAGCTGTGATCCAGTCTGAGTCATTAGCATATCTGCTGGATCAGCCAACGCCCTTGCAGAGTATTCAAGAGGTTTCACTCTTGAGGTGGAGGCTTCAGACAGACTGACTGCTTCCTGCATCCCGATTTCTCCTTTTGTCACCCACGCTTTCCCAAAAGCAGGGGAAGCGGTGGGGGCAATTGCAGAAACCTTAGGAGAAATCCTCTCCCTTTCTGATATCAACCTCCCATTCTTCGCATGCAAGGTGTATGGTTTTTTCCAGTCTCTAAGGAAAACCTTCCTGTTTCATCAGCTACATGTGAGAAGCACAGTTATGTGTCTTACTGAATTAGTGAGTGTCTGGAGCTCATTTACCTGGTGAAGGGAATTAGTTGTTTTCAGAGGAAGGAAAAACACAAGAGGATGGAGTCCAATACAGGGAAAATAGCAAAGCCATGATAAAACCCAGAGAATAATTGATTTAGATTTGCTTTAAACTACTTTCATTGTATTTGATCTGCTCTGTGGGATGGGATGAGTAGGCTGTATCTGGAGTTGTAGGGTTCTTTTTGCTTTTAAGAATGCAAATGTTTGTATATGTGGAAGGTTTTGTTTTCCATGCATGGTCTGGTTTTCGTAGTATGGCTCCATGGGATCATGGGTCTCACTGTGGATGGAGAAAAGGATGTATATATGTGACTGCCTCATGTAAAGTGGAAGCATCATCTCCTGGCTCTTACCTTTCTGTCGTGCACCAACTTTCTAGTGCTTTAGAGTTACTCTGGATCTGCTTTTTATGCTCTGAGCAGATGGTCAGCCTGTGCCCAGATCAACTGCCTTGCATGCCTGATCTGTCTAGGATATGTTACACTTGCTACGTGCTTGAACTGCATGTGTGTATAGTGATGATTTGTCTAGGGTTTTTGGACATCCAGAAGTTCCAGGCAAGTGCTCAGCCCTGAGCTGTGTTATCGGGAACAAGAGATGGAGGCAAAACTTCTTCCTGCTTTGTCCTTTTAGTAAATTTGTCTGGTTATTGCTGTACAAAATCCTATGGAAGTAGGGCACCCTTGGAGGTGGGGATCAGCTAGTCTGCAGGAGGAGCTTTTTTAACATGAGCTTCACTGGTATCTGCAAAGATAGCTTCACAGATCTGTGGATCGTTCACAGCTTTGGAAGAGCTCCTGTGCGTTTAGTTTGGCAAGGGATGGCAAAAAGATGACTACAAGCAAGAGCTCACATGCTGAGATTCCCTTGAACCCTTGGTATGAAGTAGAAGGTTTTTTCCTCCTGAAGTATTCTGTGTTGTCATAAATAGGTGATGTATAAACACGTGCTTATGAATGTGTGAAGTAATCATTGCTATCGATTTTTTTCTTTTTTTCAGGGTATGAGCATTATAGAGCAGCTAGATCCTGTATCTTTTAGCAATTACTTGAAGAAATACCATAATACAATATGTGGAAGACATCCTATTGGTGTATTATTAAACGTAAGTAACTTTTGATTTGTTGAAAAATGTAACTTTTAAAAAAAATGCTTACATTTGTTTTAAATACAATATTGCTGGAGTGTTCCTTAATTCTAAAATGGCAAGTCTTGAATTAATTTATCTTTCCAAGTGTTCTCAACTTGGTCTCCAACTTCCATGTCTTCCATATAGACAAATCTAAGCTCTTACAAGGGCTGAGGGTTTTCAGTTCACTAAGGAAGATGAGGTACCATGTTCCTTTTGAATTTCAATGAAATACAATCATTCGCTTTCTCTTGGCCCTAAATAAACAAACAAATAAATCCACCTCCCTGAAGTAGTACATACTTACTCTTTTGAATTAGTACTTACAAACACGTATATATTTTTTCTGTGTTGCTGTTAGCTAGCTATTGTGAGTACCTTGTGATGTCTGGCAGCGTTTTTCAATTTTGCAAATACGATGAGAGATTGCCTCTGTATTAGTGCAGTGCGCCGTTAACTCATAAATTAATGGCAATTAGAATTCAGATTAACTGGTACTTTCTAGTTACTGTGTTCTGCTTTGGTGATGCAATGCAGATGTAAACCTGGCTTAACTTAGTTGTCTAAATTGGGTCACAGCTGCTTTACTTTACAGCACTGCTGGAGTGCTGCAGATTTGTCATATTGCTTGAGTGAATCTCACTGTATTTTTACTGTAATTCAAATCTAAACCAGGAAGCATGTTAATCTTTTTAAAAGGAAAAACTTAATTCACTGGAAATGTCGTCTGTACGGAGAACATACAGAGGAACCTTTTAAAGCGGAGTCTATAACAGTTTGTATAAGCAGTATCAATATTGGGGATGCACGTAGCAAAATTCAGTACTATGACAACTCTGCAAAAATATCCAACTCTTAACCTCAGATAATGATTAGTTTTGCAGTGAATATAAGCTAAATTCTGTTCATTCACTTTTGCCAATTGTCGCACTTTAATAAATCATCTGGGTACATTCTTTTTCGTTAATGGAAGAAATACAATCTAAAAAGTGTTAATAATGTTCGGGGTTTTTTTCTGTTACCCCTGTCTTTCTATATAAATTCTTTATGGACCTAAAAGCATTGTTTCTAAGGGATCTATTTTGAAAGGTTGTTCAGTATTGCTCTACAGAACTGCATGGATGTACATAGTGCAGCGGGGGGAGCGTCAGTGAATGAAATGGCACAGATATGGGTTAGGTCCACAAATTACTCGGAGGTGCGTATATTATTATGAGGGATGGTGCAAGGAGCCCCGAGTGAGGGGAGAGGACTGAGATCTAGAAAATGTCATAATTTGACCGATACCTTTTTTGTTTCTTTTCAGGCTATCAACGAGCTCCAGAAGAATGGAATGAATATGAGCTTTTCATTTTTGAATTATGCTCAGTCAAGCCAGTGTCGAAACTGGCAAGACAGCTCAGTGAGTTATGCAGCTGGAGCACTTATGGTCCACTGAACCACTGAATGCTCAGGGATGGCGCCTGCACACGCTCTGTATACGGGGTCCCAGCCTAGCCCTTACAAAGATACAGTCCCTGGTCTTTGGGTATACTGAAACCTCAAACTAATAGAACTCTCTTCTTTTCTAGTAGGTGTAGTCCTTCCTTAGTTTCAACTCATTTAAAAATGCTTTCTTGTTTAGGACAATGGAAGGAAGAGTGGTATTGAAACATTTTGTGATTTTTTTGGAAAAGATAATGGCTATGAAGGCATGGTGGCAGACAGTCCTTACAAATACAACATGTAAAGCATTTACCATATCCTAAATTTGCACTCTTTGCAGACCTGTGCACATGTACTCAGCTTTCAGAATAGTTTTGCAAGTTGTAAACGGAAAAAGGAGTGGAAGCTTTTTAATAAAAGAAAAAAAAAAAAGGAAAACAACGCATTTATAAATGATCCTGTATTAGAATATAATAAAACTCCAGTATAGTCAGTTACTACCCGTGATGTACAACAGATATCTTCTATTTTAGTTGCTAATAAAGGGCTACACAAACCAAAATAGTCTGATTTAAACTTATTGCTTTGTGTTCTGTATGTGGCTGCTTGTCATTAACATCCTTTATGCTCAGTTCTTACGCTTGATAATTCAGCCGTTCTGTAAAATACTTTAGAATGTATTTTATATTCAGCATTTGTTACGACTACTTCATTTACAGATTTTTTTAAATCTTAAACCTGCACTATGAGTTCAGCTGTGCAAAAGAATTTTAAAAATCTTTTGTATGTTCTAATTCTTTTTGTTTTACATTTATCTATAAAATAGTGTCTTTTAGTATGTGATACAAATTTGTATCAGAAATACACTTTTAATGATTTTTATGCTCAGTTTGATTATTAAAGTGAAATGAACACAGTATTTTTATTTGAAATGACTTAAAAATGAAAACAAACAGTAGCTTGAAAATGATAATTCTTAAAGTATCTATCAAGTATTCATAGGCCACAGAAGCCATACAGTGCTAAGCTCAAGCAATTATTTCTCAAAGATTTAATTGGGAGGGGAAGGTAAGGCTTCTCTTTTTTATTTTTTTATTCTTCGACTGCGGGTAGAACTATTTCATGTTCTTTAAACATCATCACATCTTAGGAGTTCTTGAACTTTCTTCCAACCAAATTAATGGTGTAATTATTTGAGTTGTTATCATTCCTGAAGAATTCCTTTTGTTCTAATCAGAAATGCAAAGTAGGATGGCAGTACTGGCTCATTATCTAAATGGAGATTTCATTCTCTGATATTTCACCTGCTGTCAGGCAACCTCCTGGTACATTCAGCTTTTCTGGGTGGCAGAGGGGAGTTTCAGAATTCAATTTAGATTATCTTTGAAAGTTGTGGGAGTTGCTGCATACAAAGTCTTTACCTGAAAATGTACCGGGCATCTTGGGTTTTCTGTTAAAGTACCCTTTTGCAAACAGACACTGCTTGCACCACTTCTATTTTCCTTACCACAGTTGGCCACCATTTTAATAACAACAGGTGAATGCTCCATTTACAAAATGAACTACTTTGCAGATGTTCAGAATCCATCCCAAATGCCAAACTCCTTTGCATGTCCATTCTTTTAGTTGCCTTGTTGCTCTGCCTCGTTCTTGAAAAGTCTCAGCAGCAGACAGGGAAAACAACTTTCAGATTACTTTTGGCAGACCAGCAGGAAGGCTGTGCAGGTAAAACTGAACTGGTAGCCAGTCTTTATAAATACTTGTCTGACTGTGCCTTATTAAAAAAAGTAGTTTGATCATGAAGATTAATTTTGTTTTTTTAATCTTTGGTGAATGCAAGTTTAATTAGGACTCAGGTTTCTTTCAGTCTTGTGCCAAATGCTTAATGTCATTGTTGAAACACATAGTTAATTGGAACAGTTAAGTATATACTTTCTCCCTAAGGTAAACATAGTAATTAGCTTCTGAATACAAATGCCTAAGTTGCGTCTTAGTTCTGTAAGATAGTTTTAATAAAAACAAAGCATAACTGGAAGAGCTTCAAGGAAACTGGTCAGCCATTTTGCTCAGCACAATGTTATGAAATATCTTACAGTGAAAGCACTTCACATGTAAACTGTGTAATGTATTTCAAAATAAAGTTTCTAATTAAAATGGGAATTTCTGTGCCTACTAATAATAACCAGCAATGACAGTTCAGAAGCCCACTCAGAGAGAAATTTAAAGCTTTGTGAAATCTGCTCTAACTTCAGAAGGATTTGTTGTAAAAACGTTGTTCGTTTGAGAGCAGAAAATGTCTGATTTCAAAGAAATCAATTTTTTTTTTTGGTCTTGACTTTTGGTGGGGTTGGAGGGAGTTGACTTCAGTGCTCCTTTTCCTGGTGAGTCAGTTTAAAATGTGTCAGAAGGAAAAGCAAATAAGGAGAATAACAAACTCCTAAAAAGACCTTCACTCAAGACTATAGTTTCATTATTTTAGCTTTACCACACATTTTATTCTCACTCAAATATGCATTTGAATATAGCATTTTGGGACAAAGAGTGTCTGGTTTAGACAATATTGAATATTCACAGTTCTGTTCACTTTTGTGGAGGCTTCTACGTGTAGGATGACTGAGCTTTGACCACTCTTCTGGTGCAATAAATCCAGCCAGAGACGTCATTATCATTTTAAAATTTTGGCGTTTTAGAGAAATGCTCAATGTGTGAAAACGTTGCTTAAAGTACTCCTTTGTTTTTCTGTTCCCGTGTTGCTCACAAAAGAGCTTTATGGATTTTACTTTTTTAAATACTGTCTTTTAAAAACGTGCTTTTAAAGTACTGTCTACCGAATTCTTAATTCTTCAGCTTAATGTTTTTGACGCTGAAATGGAGCAGTAGGTCTTCCACTGCTTTGGTTTTGGATCAGCAGAAGCAGGAGAAAGCGCAGGCGTGAGCAGCACCGTGCTGCTGGGCAGCGAGCGCCTCCGTGGGCAGCAGGAGCCGCCTCTGGCCCGGCTTTAACCGAGCCCGAGAACGCGTGCCCCTCGCGGCACCTGGGCGCGCTCAGCTCCGTGCCAGTTGGACGTAGCTGCTTCAACTCTCGGCCTTCATCAGTTCATAACAGCTGTTTGGCTTTATTTATTTACTTATTTTAAAAATCATGACTTGAGTGGCTTTGATCCAATGTTATTATTTAAACTGAACTCTTACTCCAGTGCAGCCTCCTTTCTTGGAGCCTTCGGAAATGCCGAGTTTGCCTGGGCATTTTTAGACCCAGCTCTTGCTGTTTCCCAGTCAGGGGCTCATTGCTGTGTCTTGGGGGTTCTGGATATTGCTGCAGGCTTTCCTCGGGAATTTGGAATTGACATCTCAAGCACTGAAATGGGGGATTTTGGTTTGACGCCTGCACACAGAGTCTCCCGGTACTCTGGCACGTTGTGTTGGTGGTTGGTGTAGGGTTTTTCCATTTCACATTTGTCCTTTTCCCCTTATTCCCTCAGGAAGAATGCTCTCCTCTGCATCAAAGGAAGCTTTGCTTTCAAATGACATCAGTCACCATGATTTGCAGTTGTTATTTCCTCGGGCTGAGTTCAGTGTGCTAACTAGTATCTGTTCCGCTCTCAAAAATTGCCCAAACTATTACGTTCATGGAGAAATGTTTAAAGTCCCTTGTATAGGTGACCTTTTGCCTTCCTGTTTCTGTGAGAAACTTTCTGAAATTAAGCCTTCAAGCTAGCCTGTGAAAAGATCTTCAGTGTGAAGAAAAACTGAATTTCAGGATCCAGTTTAGTGTACCCCGAAGATGGGAGATGTCTTGGTTTGGGGCCCACAGTGCAGCCAGATGGCCTTTTCAACCTTTTCAATAGATGGTTGCAAAACATGATTTGGAATTGGTCTGTAGGGATGAACTGACTCTATTCTTTCAGTAATGCAAAATCTATTGCCTCTATTCTAATTGTCTCTAGGGCTTTTTTTTTTTTTATTTCAATTTTTTTTTTCTTATTTCATCTAATTCTGAAAACAATTTGTCCATGTATACTGCAGACAACTTCCAGATGCCTGGTGTCGTCTGGGGGTTCTCTCATTCCAGTATTAGCTGAAAAATCAGCGCTGGCTTCTTGCTGGCTTCTCTGGTACCTATTTCGCATGTGCATTCCCTCACACCAGGGTCTGAGACATCTCTCCCATTGCTTATACCCCAGGAATGAAAATGTCATGGTAGTGATATCTCTAAATTAAGAAAGAGATTATGTCAGTTTATTTGTTTTCTTGGGTTTTTTGGTTTTGGGATTGGGGGGGGGCAGTTGAGGGGGTTTGGTAGAGGCTTGGATCTTTTTGGAAAGGGCAGAGAAATGAGGAGAATGGGCTGGGCGTAGACAGGGAAGAAAATTGTTGCTTTTCCAATTTAATGTCAGCAACTGTTCTGCTATCCTGTTTGGGAGCTGACATGCTGCAAAATATTGCCCAGTGCAGCTGCGGGCTGGATGCAGTGGTGGGCAGCCTGTTACTGCTGCTTCAAAGAGAAGAAATGTTGGAGGTATTTTGTAAAGTCTAGGACAATTTGTTGAAGCTCAAGGGTGAGAATCCTATGCTGATATCTTTAAGTTATAGGTAAACAAAGGCATCTTGGCCTTTATGCAAAGGTGACAGATAGACAGACCCCTCACCACCCAGGTTTCTAAGTCAACGTGTTTGGTTCTCGGTGGATTTAAGAGAAGTAAATAATTCTCTCAGTCCTGTGATCTCCGTTGACATTAATGTAAATATGTATTCCCCACAAACAGTTCTAGGTACCTTTTTCAAAACTTATGAAACCAAAGTTATTTAATGACTGGTTTCAAACAGAAATATATCCTAATTTGAGTAGTTGTATTTAAATCCCATTAAAGAATTATCCAGGGCCTCAAATGCACTGTGAGTGAAGCTGGTAATGAAACTTTAGACTTTAGTGATACAGTATCTGCTCTGTATATGACAAAGACCTAAATGACAAGAGGACTAAAACATGGTGTTAAACATTAAACTAGGAATTCTCTGAACCTAAACCCAGATTTCTTTTTTTCTCTAGTGAATTTTAAAACAGTGAGAAATGACTTTCCTGAGCCTGTGACTGCAGTTTCACAAGACTGAAAACAGCAGTGCTCTTGGGTGAAGTCCCTTCTTAGGTAAAAGATGTTTGTTACGTTTTTCTGCTGAACTCTTGCTGCACAAAGTGGAGTATTAGCATCTTAGTGCCTGGGCCACAGAGGCTTGACTGAGCTGCCAGGCTGCGTGGGCAGGGAGGGAAAGGCATCCCCTGAGATGTGTTGGCTGATACTTAAATGACTTCCCATTTGTCTCCACAAATTGTTAAAGACTTGAAGAGTGAGCCTTTAAGCTCAGCTCTGATGAATCAATGTTGTGCTCGTGCATATTTTTTATGATAAAAATCTATTTTCCTTTATGATCACAGTCCAAAGAGCCAGTGTTACAAATAACCTGTCGGTAAGATGTCTGCAATAAATGGCTGGTCTGGAAATGCTGACTGGCATCACGACTACTTTCTGGGAGAAATCACACTTTTTGCATTTTAAGAAACAG